TGCTCAACAGAAAAAAATTAGAGATGATATTGTTTCAACGAAAAGCACAACGAAAGTGGCTGTCTCTATTTCCTTGGTGAGAGCAATGAAGACTTTACGATCTAATTTAAACTCACATTGGGGGCAGTGAAAGGTTAAGTAATATTTTACGTAGTAAGTATGCGCCAAATCATGCGTCGTAGCTCATTATTTCAAATCCCTTGATGTAAATGTTGAGAGAATTATTTAGACCAAGTGGTAGATTTTTCTAGCAATTCTATTTATAATGGTTTAGTTCTGTCTACTGTAAACTTGGCCACATTCGCTCAGCTTGTTTTCAATCTTCAGGGATTGGAAACGTCTTCCGACATCTTTGGTTAGTGTTTTGATTCATTTATCCGCTTCTATACCTGGTGATTTTTTTTCTTGTTTGTTTTTTAGAAGCCTTTTGCTGAGATTGTCGTGCTAAGTTGTACTACGTGTTTTCCTCTATCAGAAGCAAGGTTTTAATATATAATCAACAAGTATTCTCTAGTTAACCGCTCCCACATTGCTCATAAAAATGTTATAATTATATATGCAATAGATGTGCAAAACTGGGAACCTCTGACAGGATCGGACCCGTATTTCACCCTTTCCTAGGACGTTGCAAACCAATTGCACTGCCGAGGCTTCTGTTCAGCCACCACTCTTTCTGCAATACCAACTATAAATCTTTCAAGAGTTAGCTGTCGACAGATTTGGATACATGTGATCTCAAGTACACATGATAGAAGTAGTCCCCTGTGGAAAGAGTGAAATGCGGGTTCGAATCCCTGCTAGATGAAATAAGCTTTTAAAGGCACACGTCGTAGCGTATGCAGCAAATATTTGTCAAAGAGTTCATTTACAAACAAAAACTAGCATCAATTTCCAACTAATGGTTGCCTACTTCTTGAATAACTGGCTCACTTTTACAAATCGAGAGCCGTTGAATTCTAGCAGAACAAATGCTGTTTAGCTGATGATTTGCTTATGGGTGAAATTTTTTTCTAAATTCTACCAATTCGTGTTGATGCTTCTTGAGCTCCTCACCACTTCTAATCAGTGGTTGGTGAGCTGCCTTGAGGATGCCAGGAATTTCTGGCCTTCAGTACATTGCTCCTATATGAAGCTTAAACATGGGGACCTTTCTGCTTGAAAACCCGCCACCCTCGCTATAAATGGCTGGTGGACACTCGAGAACATCGGCTCAACTGTGATGAGGTTTTACATAGATGTGTCAAACATTTTGCATCTGTGCATCAAGGAAATGTTTTATTCTTCAACTCAAGAGTTTTTTGAAGGAGGTGAAATTCTCAGTGTTCCTCGGATACTACAACAAAATTCTTCACCGGGAAAAAAAAGGCACAATTCCTTAATTCACTTTGATACCATTGAGGACAATGCCTTCTCCGCTTTTCTCAGATTTTCAATGATCACTCGTTAGCTTAGATCTCGCTTTTCTCAGATTGTGATTCTTTCCTGAAAGCGCCTTCTTACTGCGCTATAGCAGCAAAAACAGTTGAGTTTGTCACTCGGTGCGCATTACTGTGTGTATTTTCGTTATTTGATCTAAACACTTTTTTTTCGTTTCGTAGAAATTCATACGTTTTCCGGATCAAATGATGACTGAAATCTTGCTCCGTCGTTCTATAGGTATAAAATTTTTATCTTCTTTCCACATTATTAAGTAAACCCGCTCAAAGGTGAAGTTGAAGGTGGAGGTTTGCAAGTTTACCTCAAACTTGGGTAATTGAGACTTGTACACTCACATATATCATTATCAAAACAACGAAAAATTAAAAGACAATGAGAAATTGTATCGGAAATTAAGGAATATAAATGCTATGGACATTTATCACATGAAGACAAGAAGGAGTGAACTACGGTAATAGTAAACTACGATTGTGTAATACAATGAGCACTTGTCATGTGGAGAAAAGAGCGACCTATGGGATTGTCACAATAAGCCGTTGTCATATTGAAGTCATTTGAAGTAGCGATTAGTGGATTGTTCTATTTGCGGCGTGGACATGATACGGTAGAGAGAGAGGAGAGAGGAACGGAGAACTACGGTGGAGAGTCCAAGCGTAGATCAATAACATATACCTGACGACATTATTAAATCGCGGACAATAACCACAGCAATGACATCGTTGAACGGCGAACAACGACAACTCGATAATGCAAATGAAAGACACGAACAACAAGGATATAAAACTGCATGTTTGGTCGCTCGTTGTAGTTGAGCCTTCTCCTCATACCGTTTCCCGTACGCGTTTATTTTCCCTGGTCAAAGTGGTGCTTCATGTGGAGCTATGGCCACTCCCGCCACCACATCGATTATCGAAGAACTGTCGACTTTGTCGACACCTAAGAATTAGGTCCAGTGTTGAAATTGCCAAGAAATATCCTATTGACTGAATACTAGAAGTCCGAGAAAAAAATTAAATGCATTGCTCACAAAGAGTTGACAAATGGATTGAGATAAGGGAAAAGTACCAAAGAACTGTTTGCTACTCTATCAGCTCAACGTATGCTATTTAACCCTTTCGGGACCTTGGGCTCACCGCGCCTCAGCGTCTCTAATTGGCAACGTTGGCCAATCTGCTTCCTTTCCCCTGCATCTCTCTTCCTCAACGTAGGAATCAATGTTTGGCCCACTTCTCTCTGCCATTTGGCACCTGTCCATCGCGAAGAAGGTTGCTAGTTCGGACGCCTACCACGACGCTTCACTGTAGTTGTTTTGGTGTTATCTTTTTGATGTAGATTAGTTTCAAAGGTTCTTCTATGCCGCAATTATCGTAGCAAAAACGTTCAGTTGTCTAACATTTCACTACTTTTTGATACAATACGTAAGATAAGATTGCATATCCAACCCTTTTCGCTCTGAATGCAATGTTGTAGTTTCTGATGTAATTAAGTCCAGAATGAGATTTCAAATCTGAGTGATCCATTGATTTGTTTTCACTTCAATATACCTCAAGACAGTTCCTTGTACTTCGTCCCACATCGTACTTCTCCAAACAACTTCAACATAACTATACGAGATATGGTGTGTCAGTGATTCGAGCACATCTTAGTGAAAACAAATCATAACAACTCCAAAAAGCTTCGTGGTAGAGGACTAAACAGTAACCTTTCTGATGGAATGGGTACGAGTAGCAGAAAGGAGTGAGCCAGCCAGTGATCCTCCCGCTGTTGTTATAAAGAGGAGGTGGCGCAGACCGCTCAGCGTTGTCAGTTAGGGACCCAGAGGCCGTAGGAACATGGTCGCGAAAGGGCTAGGAAAACTACTTAGAAATTCGGGCGAAGACGGTAAAGCGAGGTTGCCCCAAATTTCGAGAGAACTGACATGAATACAATTCAATGAAATTAATATGAAATTGGCAGTACTAAAGTATCGACGGAATTCACATGCAAATAGTTCCAAATCGTAATTGATCAGTGCGAATAAGGAATCTAATGTAAGAAATTGTGATCTGCACATTAAACATGCAGACAGGGTAGTGAAAAATTTGAAAGATTTCAAGTTTTTACATAGATCTTGCAATTCTTTGCTGGAAGTTTTGAACAAATTACAGATGTTAATACGATTCATTCGATGTGCTGACGTTTCCGCGGTTTTGCCTTTTCAGAATCTGAAAAGATCAGGTTGCACAATCCAGCCACCCAAACACCTCCATTGCGCTTCAGCAGAGAAAAACGCCAAATCTGAGATTTCAACTGCATTAAGCGCGAAGCAGCTTTCCAACGTATTCAGCGTTTTTTATGAGTCTCCATTGAGTTGTCCAAATGGAGCCCAACCGTGCAAAGATCATATGAATTGCGAACGCACCTCCCATATCAAAATAACAATTTCATGTACTATGTAAATCGCAGAAATTTATCTTGATTAGCCAACGTGAGTCTCATACGGACGCTCTAAGCAGATAAATTTCGCGCTAGAAAGCCTAACCTTTTTCGGACCATGGAACCACGGCCTCTCCATCTCTAGCTGGAAACGCTGGATGGTGTGCTCCACCTTCTCTTCATCTCCAAACCCCCCGCCCTACCCTCCGCGTGGGAATCGTTATCTGTATCACTCCTCTCTGCCACTCGGCACCTCGTTCATGGGTAAGAAGGTTCCTGGTTCAATCCTACCATGACACTTCACTATAATTTTTTGTTATTATCTATCTATCTCTCTCTCTCTCTTTATATATATATATATATATATATATATGTATATATATATATACGTTTACATAGATGCATGCACATTATAAATATAACTATATATAAGGATATGACATATTTTGAGCCATAGCTCTAGTGCTTTGTAGGCGCCTATTTCGTCCTATTGGGACTCATCAGTAGCGCCCTCCCTCGGTTCCGTCGATCCCTTGAGGTTAAATAATCCTCTAAAGGAATCGACGCCGAGTAAAAATAAAGCACCTCAAGTCGGATGATGGCATTACCTGACTTTGTGGTGACCGGCAGTTGAGCTTGCGGCTTTTAAAATGAAAGAAGCTTAGTTTATTTTTTTCTTCATCTTCCAGTACTGAGAGAACTTTTACGTGGTGAAGACACCTTACGGCGCCTATTTTACTTCAAAAGACACGGAGGCTGTAATGCAGGTTCTTTTGGTTCAAACTTTTTCTTTGCCGCAAATGATAGTAAATCCCTCTTTCATTCAGATGGGTCTCGCAGACGGGAGGGAATCTATGAACTCTATAGATTGTTAAATTGTTCACTTTCCTATCATAGCTTTATTTCGAGTGCTTTATTGAGACCACGCTCAAATTTCAATAGATCCTTTCATTTTTATTTGAGCCAACTTGTCATGTGATCTGGTAAGAAATCTTGTACAGCCCGATACACGTGTTTCGTCCTAACAGACTCGTCAGTCGCGCAGAACCCGTCGTCTTTCGATATTCTTAAACTCGAAATTGATATTATTTTCAATGCATTTCGCACTGTTATGATGTTTTCTGTATTCCTAAGAGAATTGAGTGGTGAGCAAAAACACGACTTCAGGCGGGAATCGAACCCACGTTTCATCCTATCCAAGGATCGTGCTCTACCACTAGACAGACCACTGAGGCACATTTGCCCGACCACTCATTCTACAACATCTCAATGTTAGCTATCAGCCGCCAACCTTTGACAGGTTTGGTCGGGTATGCGATTTCCCAGTTGAGCTGACAGCTATTCTAATTACCAATACTCGAAATTGATAGTATTTTTAATGCATTTCACACTGTTATGATGTTTTTTATATCCCTAAGAGAATTGAGTGGTGAGCAAAAACACCTCTTCTTATAGTCTTATTCTTATAGTCATATTCTTATAGTCAGTTCTCTCGGGAGCCTTCCACTCCTCATAGAGAGTCGTCGAAGACGAACGTTTTACACCCTATGTCAAGTGAAATTTTCACCTAACACAGAGTGTTGCGTACTCGATTGCTTGTTGGCTGGTATTTTTACCATATTATGCCTTTGTTTCATTCTGTTCACTTTCCATTCTAAATCTCATTCACTTTCCTATTCATCCTTCGTGTTTGTTTCTTTCAGAATTCAAATATGACTAATGTTCGCTAGGGTGTTTGCGTTCTACTTTGAAAATTCATTGTTGCCAGAAAATGTACACCATTGAAGGTTGTTCCTGTATCTTGAACATTGCAGAGATTATCATTGTCCATTACTGATTTCTTGCTTCGTACAGCGCTTTCCAACAGGAGTTGTTTGCTTCTCTTTCTTTTCTTTTACCTCACCTTTTTGTATTGTTATAAGAGTTAAATAAAACCTTTCAAAACCTATCTGTTTTCCAATTTCCTTGGTTGGTGTCATGGTCAAATTAAACCATTTTGAAGTATTCTTCTAATTTTTCTCTTTCGAATTCATCGGAACAGTGATAGGACTCAAAGTGCAGGTAGAAGGGCCATCTTCCCTAATTTAGAATGTCCCGACGTGGTCGAGGAATAAGATTGAAGGAAAATGTGCCGACTGTATCAGCAAGAGGCACGATCACAGCCGCCTTCCAGAGACAGACGAGGCGAAAGGTAATGTTATATATCCAATATTGTTGAGTATGGTGCAAGACTTTGAACCTCGGGCGGAAGCTGAACTCGTGTCTCAATGTTTCTGGGAGCGCATGCTCGACACTGCACTACCGAGGTTTCTGTTCTGCCATCACACTACTGAAGTAGAATTATGAAAATTCGGATAGGAATTCGGCTGAATTTTTTTCCAGGATTGTCCAGTATGTGGCCAGGCTGTATTATTGACTTTGTACAGGGCGCATTTGGATAACTGCCACCTCGGCTCTAACGACAGTGACTGTGAGGTGTGGTGGGTTTGACCATTATTGTGAATTCATAGATTTAATAGTAATATATTGGGTTTTCCTTTCATTTCGCCCTACAGTTATGTGTGGCTGGCTAACCCTTGCGGGACCGTGGACCCACAACCCCTGCGTCTCTAACCTTCAACGCGTGGCGTCTAATGGCATATGCCATTGTTAGGCTCAGCACGCTAGAGGTTAGACGCAACGCGTTGGAGGTTAGAGACGCAGGGGTCGTAGGTCCACGGTTCCGTCAGAGTCCTTTCGTTACCGGTGTTTCCTTAGGACCACGCTCAAATCTAAATGTGCCCCATATTACTGTTTGAGCTATGCATGTGGTCTTCTATAGGGTAACTTGTAGAGCCCCCTATACACGTGTTTCGGTCCCCAAATGATTATCAGACATGATGAAAAGGCTATTTTATCAAATATCTTGACGTGGTTATTCTTTTCTCCTGTAATATCTTTGCTTAATCGTGTCGACGCTGCTTCTACTTCCCACCACAATTTTCTGTGAGCTTTCCACTGAAACTCTCACATGGATAGGACAATAAATAATTCACATGGACGTTATAGTGAACCATGTGAACTTTGTAGCATTGTTCCAACGCTGAGAGTCTCAATGGAAAGCTCATAGAAGACCAAGAGAGAATGAGCACGACACGAATAAGCAAAGATATCAAGGAGAGCGCGGGTGAAGCAGCGGTTAGAGGTGCTCTGCGAAGCGCACGTGGTCGATTTACCGGTAGTCGATGTTGAATGTCGGCGCTCAAGGCTCACAAACCTTCCGTCTGTTCGTGTCAGTGAATTGGTGAGAGACTTCTTTGGAGGTATGGCAGCACTGACTTATATATCGATGGATCATGGTGAGTTATTGCGAAGGCCGTGCACGCATTCACTCATCTCAGACGATGACTGGTCAAGTCGAATGCATCATTCATGGATTGATTAACGCAAGGAGTTTCATCTTTTTCAATCACCAAGAACTGCTCAAATGTTAACGCTTTTGGGACTGTGGACACACGGCCTTTGCATCTATAACACCTTGCGTGCCATTGTCTGACGCAGCACAGTGTGGTTAGAGATGCGGGGAGGTGAAGCAGACCGGTCAGAGTTGCCATCAGAGATACAGAGGCCACAGGGTCCATGGTATCGAAAGAGTTAATTGACACAGCGTACGTATCTTATTAAATCACCATCGATCGTGTATGATTTAATGATATCTGCTAAAAAATTTAAGGAATTAAATGGGTGAATTTACTAATTCCTTGATCGAAATGAGATAGATTGAAGTAGATCGCATAGCAGTATCTACCCTGATATGTGTTCAGTGCCTGCTTTTCAATCTCTTGTGAAAGTTAGCACTGGTGGGCGAATAAACTTGTAACCTGATAGATTGATATGTAGAGCAGGAGCATCATCTGGTGAGGATAGAGCTTTCATCGAGAAATGAAAATTTCTTCTGAAGAATTACAACAAAGGCATTAAGATATTTTGAGAAATCATCTGATGGGTTAGTTTGCCTGATGCTTTGACTTTGTCCGCAGTCTTACTAATAATGTTTCCATGTTGACTTTCTCTTTGGTCATCTTACAAACTGCGCTTTCTTCTAAGTAAAACTTGGGCAACGTTGGTATTTCTCTTTTTGAGATCGATGACTAGGTTTCGGCGATTTCTCTGTCCTTCGAGCTTAGACGACGTGCTATACTGAAGCGTTCCCAGTTATCCAGTTTTTACTATACATAAATTTATGATTTTGATGTGTGTACGGGTGTATCTTATGAGGACTTATGAAGCCAAAAAAATTGTTTAGATTGTACAAATATTGACAGCTGAGGAGAGTCGTGCCTTGCGGGCTGGGCCATCCATAGTGATTGATGGTGACGGCGACAGTTTCGTTGCAGAAAATGAGTCGGCCTCACATAGGAAACACTCGCAAAGCAAAAGTGGTAAGTCTGGGTACGTTGTCACGCGTTTAAGTTCTTTGACCCATTTAGAGAGCGTACTTATTCGTGGCTAAAGAGAAGCATATGATTTGCGTTGGTCAAGATATTCGGCTTTGACGATTTGTGTATGATGTTTGTACGAGACCGTGGCATTCGGGTTTCGTATAATTGATGATGAAGTATGACTAATTATTGACGAAATTATTACCGACAGAAACAGAAGAAGCGGATTGAAGTGGAACTGCTTGTTTACTTCCAAATCATTTTTTGCCCTTTTTCAACTCCAAGTGGATTCCGAGTGGCATATAACTCAATTAAAGTGCATCGTAGTCTAGTTGCATGTACTAACCAATGCACACAATATCTCGTTACTGGAAAGGAAATAATTGTTTGCTGCTACCCCAAGTAGCAGCGAAAACATTAGACACTCTAAAATGATTGGTTCCTCCTCTCCCTAATTCATGAAATGAGTTAGTACAGAGAGGCTGCTCAAATCGCAAAGCCATTCCAGGCTGCCTTAATCGCATTGGGCTAAGATGATAGTCTGCACCTCTAATACATGTTCACCTACATCCGAATCCTGTATAAAGGATCTGATCATCCCTTCATTTCAAAGAGAACAACGAACGACGTCATCGAACTTGCTGAGGAGGGTAGGCGCAGCCCATTTCACGCCGTTTATGACACCGGAGTAGAACTGTTCTTCGAAACATAAGATAGTGGATAACGCTATCATCAGCACGAGTTTCACCGTGATATCAGGCCACCGCCTCGTCCGCTCCACATTCCATTTTTCACAAAAACGAGATAATGCCGCTGAATCTAAACAACGAATTCTCAGAACTACCATAAACCAGAATGTATTCAAATCATTAGTCGGCGGTTGGGAAGATATTGTCATTAACAACATCGACAAAGAATACTACCGGCTCATCCAGCTTTCCTCGTAAGCGCTATAAAAACCGAAATTTTGAAAGTCATCAAGAGACGTTTGCCCCACAAACACTTGAGCTTACACGCTAATGTGGAATTGCGCAAGCCCTAGGCAAATGAATACTCGCATATGAACTTGCGACCGATGAAGAGAAGCTAAAAAAATTGTAGAAAGAGAAAGTAGTAGTGTGGTCGAAGCCTCAGAGACTGTGAAGAGCGTTTGCAGGCTCACCGAAATCTCGCCAGGTATAGGATCAAGAATATTGCACTATCATTCACAGATGAAACAGTTGCATATCACAAAGAAGGCGAAAATCAGCCACGTTTGATACTCGGATTTCTCCAATAGTCACGTCCTCTTGCCGTCATATGAAACATGAGAGTGGATTTGTCGTCGCACCGGTTCTTTCTTTCAGAATCCATCATTCTATTTTCTCGGTGAAGAATAAAACATCTAGGTGGGGCAGGATGTAACCCGAGCACCTGAAGAATTTGCTGCCTTTATCAACAGACTGGATCGGCTTTCAAGAAGCTACGTGTGAGATTGCGAGACCACCAGAAGACTTAAGACAATCCGCAAAGGACGCACTTTCGATATACGGAACTTTTCCTGTCAACCGGCGTGCAACGAGAACAAAAGAAGGTCCACGGAAAATAATGGAAGTTGAGTTTCGCTAGTGCTTTGCATCACACAAATCTGTCTTGAAGCTCTTCGCATCCTTTTCTGTGTAAATAATTGATCTGTCACCGTGAATCAGACTTCTTACTATAAACATGTAGGAAATTGCTCTCCACGCTCTTCATCGATCATTTGCACTCATTCTATTGAGACTTGTAATTCTGAGAAATGGCACTAACTTTAGCATCATCTTCGGTAAAGAAAAGTACACTT